AACTAAAGGGCGTGGCATAGTTCAGGTTCTTAGAGTTTAACTTGGAGAGAAAATCTGAATGTGAGAAACTGCTGTAGTTAAAAAGTAATATATGAAGTGCTAGAATATCAAAAGTATGTTTTTATATAATCAATATCATTCTTAAAGCAATTAGCAACAAATTCAAAGAGGCATAAATTCATTTTACTCATTTACTGAGAACCATACATATAATACAAAAGATGTAGGAGTAACATAGGTAAGACCCCGTCCCTGTCCTCAACACAAAAAAACAAAGCATATAACAGTTAGTTAAAAGTAAATGTCAGAGGAATGAAGAACTCTTAAGAGTTTAGCAGAAAGGTGCCAGAGAAGGTTTCGTATAAGAGGTAGCATTTGTGCTGGGACCGAAATAAAGTATGTTAGAACCAGGCCTGCAAAGACTCAGCCTTAGAAAACCACAAGGAAGTTAACAATACTGTGTTGTATATTTGAAAGTTGCTAAGAGAGTAGATCTTAAAAGGTCTCATCACATAAAAACAAAACTGGAACTGTGTGGCAATGGATGTTAACTTAATTGAGGTCATTTCACAATATATACTTACATCAAATCATGTACATACATCTCAAATTATTATAATGTTACATGACAATTACATCTCTGTTTTTTAAAAAAGAAAAGCACAAGGAGCGTATAGGGAACAGAGCAATTGAATTTGAATGAGATATGGGTTAAGAGGGCCAACCCATAGGGTTGGATTAAAGGGGAAGGATTAAAAAAGATTGGCTTCGGTGATAGAAGACTAAAAAATATTCTGGAAGTAATCGGGGAGCTACTGAAACTTTTGAAGCAAAGGTGGTGACATTCACATGTAAGATGAAAATAATCACCTTGCAAGATGGCTATGAGGATTAAATAAGATGCCTGTCATATATAAATGTTTAATAAATAATGGCTAACAGTCACCTGACTAGAGATAGGCTGATTAGGAAATTATTAAATGGGTCTAGCAGGTGGTGTGAAGACCTGTTACCTGGCAGTAACCGAGAGAAACTACAGGTATTCTCCCCTTTTCAAAAGTTTCCCATTATACCACTTTGCTTTTACAAAAGACCTACATGAGGACCTGTTTTCGTTAACCAAAAGAAATCTGAAGAGGATTTTTATTTCTACGAAAAAAGGCAAAATTTGTAAATAGTATTCAGTGTTTGTTTTGCAGTGGCCATTATAGAGGCCATTTTCTCTTTGTCTAATTCCAAATTGCCAGCAAGAATGGCACCACCAAGCTCCTTTCCCGGGAACTACTCTCAGCATCCAGCATCAAGCCACCATAGCTTTGCACTGTGTGAGCATCCTTGCTCTATCTCAATTTCTTTTGTGCTCTGTTAGCACAAAAGGTACACTGTTAGTCCTAAGGTACACTGATACAGAAGAGCTTAAGAGAGTTTATTTTTGGGGTCTGAGAATGCTCAAAAAATGTTTCTGTATAGATTAATTATAATTGCTTCTTAATACCAATTTGGCTTGCAAAAGTTTTCATACTTTCACATAGGGGGGAACCCTGTATTTGAATTGAGTATAGAGAAGGGATTTTTTTTAAGAGGAAGCTTTTATTTTGACTGCAAAAAATATAGAAACAAGCAATAAAAGATATCACAAAGTGTTATCTTCCCTAAATTAATCTATGAATTCAGTAAAAATACTGGTAGGTTTGATTGAGGGTGGTGTGGTGTTTGGTTTGGTTTTTGGTAGGTTCTTGTTTTACATAAATACTAACTTGTTTTTACAGATTTCTTCTAGGAGTTCATAGCATATGTAAATGGTCTTAAATGATTTGACCATCTCTCCCTGATCATGTAAAAATTCAATTTTGGCTCAAGTAATAGTGGACCATTTTGTTCAATCTTAAACACAGTACTTAGATGGATCTTATTCTAGAGGGTCTAATGAAATGGTCTAATATCCGTAAGAATTTTATTAAACCATCAAAACACTGTCTCAGGAATCATAGTTTTATCAAGCCTCAGTTTGAGCAAATGCAGTGTCAATTAACTAAAAAGAGTTAAAAGAGATTGACCTATATTATTTTTAAAGAGAAAACACAGATATCCTGGGGCAGATATTTAGGAATTTTCTCCTGTAAATCTGAATGAAAGTTACAGGTGACCCAGATGCCTGAGCCCTCCAGTGTACCTTCCTCCTCCTGTGGGAACCTGCTGATTCAGGGAATCCTTTGATAATCTCCAGCCTCTGCCCAGGGATGTCTGTGGGACAGTGAGGGCCACGTGAGAAAAGGAGAAAAGCTGGAATTTATACCTATTCAGCCAATTTTTGGCTATTGTGATTCTTAGCTTAGTGAGCTTCCTCTCAGCCAAACTGCTAACAAACTTCCTTGAGCATTTTTTTCTCACAGGAGACAATCCAGCTTTAATAAAAAGAAGTGCTTCTTTCCAACTTCTTCTCAAGGCCATCTTCCTGTAGGAGCTGCAATTCTGATGTAATACAGCTAATGTTTTCATATACTTTGGGAAGTTTCTCCTAGATTTCTAGGCAGTAATTTCCTCATTTGACTTTCTGCAAATTTGCATTACATGTTCTTGATGTAGTTCAGATAGTATTTGAAATTTTAGCTGAAGTTTTTGCATCTCATTTTCAAACATTATTTTCAGACTGCAAAGATGTTTGTTCAGTTTAGAGACCATGGATTTGAACTGTAAATGATCTGTTCATTTAATTTTCTTCCCTTTTAAAATAGTTCATGTTTTTCTCCTTCAAGGCTTTTTAAGGAAACATTGAACAGTATTAGTGCTTTTCTTCAGATTGACTTCTGAATAACAGTCTAAGGGTTCTGAATTTTCTGATTTTTCTCTTTGTCTAATTCCAAATTGCCATCATTCCTGTAATCCTTTCCAAAGTGGGCAGGCAAACATCTTTATTATGGTTTCAGAGATTTTTAGCAGGCTCTCTTTATCACTTAAAGCCTCTTTTATTTGTGTTCTCAGGTTGTCAAACTTTTTTCTTTTCCTACATTTCCCACACGTTTCCGATTTGCAGCCTCTTGGAATAACAGTTTTAGGTTTTCTTATTGAGTGTTTTCATCCAAACCATCCATGATTTCCCTCTTAAGTTGTTCGGCATTCTTCTGAGATGCTTTTAAGATGTTCTGTCATCAGTCATTTGAGACAGATATTTTGATGCATCTCAAGTGACTGTGTCTGTCCTTAAAGTTAGCCATGAAATAAAAGTTCAGGGGGCACATTTCTGTTCTTTTGGAGAAAGTCTACAAAATTCTCATGATGAGTGGACCAGATATTTATACATGCTGCCAAAAACAGTGTTTGTAACTTCAGGGGACTGGTCTCCACTGGAGGTAACAAGGGTTTCTTTGGTTTGTATAATCAGTCTTACCTCCTTACTGACTTTAACCCATTCAGAAAATCCTTTGGCACTAGCTCTTTTCCGCCTTAAATTCTGTCTGCTCTTTACTGTAAAAATAATCAGAAAGGCCCTATCAGAATCTCATAGGGGATACCCAACCACTTGGGCCTTGTCTCTTGTATCAGGCAATGCCACCTAAGGCCTGGTCGGGGACAAAAGGAGGAAGGAAGATGAGGTTCTGTAAAACAGAGCTCTCTAATTTTGCTCTGCTCATTGCAAATAGAAAGTGCTATTGTTTGTCCAGTGTATTTGGGCAAATAGGAAACACTAGTCAGATGAGACCAGCCATTAGCTCTGACCACTCTAGTTCTTACCTGATCCTGTAGGAAATCTGCAAATTCAAAGCAGTGCCATTCCATTACCCATTATCTGCCTATGAACAAGTCAGAGGACAATGGTGGGGCACACTGTGGTAGGAGACTCCTGTGCCCAGAGCCCTACATGAAGCTCATTCTTGAGTTCAAGTTTCCTTCAGCAGCAGCAAAGCCTGATCCTGCCTGCAGAGGTCACAGGATCTAACTCTCCTGAAGGCTCCTTCCCAGGTTGTGTTTCAGTTCAGGTGGGCAGGAGCAGAGCATTGAAGAGCCTCAACAAAGGTATTAACAGCCTTGATTTCAATATCAGATTTGGCAATATCTTAGATTTTCTGTGGGGTCCATTTGTCCCTGTTCAATCCAAGCTTTTATAGATGGGGGAGACTCCGCCAGGGGTGACTCAGTGATCCAGGCTTCTTTGATCATGTGACCCTGCCATCTTCAGTTCAGTGCTCTCCAATCCAGGGTGTGTCTGCCTCTGTGAAGGGAGCAGGCCCTTCTCTTGGCTGAATCTGGCATCTTCTATGGCTTTCAACAAAATTTTTCTCTCCTAATTTCTGGCAGACATCCCAAGCTTCCTTGTCCATCACCTGGGACACTACCTTAAAGGACTCTGTAAAGACAACCTTTTTCCATGGGGAAAGGAGGGAACTCTGAGCCGGTGATGGTCTGGGGATTTGGGAGGGGTGCAGAGCTCAATCCACAGGTTGATGTGGAAGATTGAGGCTCAGGGTAGGCCTTGTGATGAAGAGAGGAGCTGGCCAAATGCCTGATGAAGTTTATTTTGTTTAGAATTTATGTAGTTGTTCGAAAACCAGCAGGACAGAAGTCTTACTTTAAGTGGTAAGACTGAACAGAATCAGGAAGGGTAGGGAGGTATTTCAGTATTTTGTTGAGTGACATTTTTTTCAATGGGTAAGTCTCCTTATTTAGTGTTTTCTTTTTTTCAGTACAATCTTGTCTTTTGTAGAACATGATGCAGTTTTATGCTACACTGGTGTTTCTGATAACACAAGATGATTACGTGGTTTACTGACTGGGCAATAAATAACACTGAGTCACATAGAGAGAAAGTAATTTCTTTACCTTGCAAGCCTTTTAATTATATTAAAAGCTTTCGTCTCATTCTTGCTAATATTACAAAGGAGAACAGGTCTCAGGCTGACAGCCTTCTGTGACCATCAGTATCTTCCTAGGTTTTAATAAAAATAATTTGCTTTCATTATCTTCATTTTTATAATTATCCTCTACTTACGGGAAATGATAACTGATTTTCCATTTAGGGTGATGGTAAAAATTTTGGCCCCAAAAATTGAATGAGCTGGCTGAAAAAAAAGGAATTAGATAAGTAATAGTATAGGTGATATGTAAATGTCAACAACAAAAAATTATCGTGTTGCTATGCAAATAACAGTACCGTTCCAGAATCTCTGATCTTTATAATTTCTTCTGTGTGTTCTTTTGAGAGGGATTTGGGAACCCAAAGGAGCTAAACTGTCACTGGGACATTTAAGGCTGTGCCAAATTATGTTAGCTTTTACTTGTTTAAATCCTTATACTACCTTCTTGTTTAATGGAAAATTATTGTCCTTAATTATTATGATAGCATTGAGCCTTGAAGTGAAATATCATATCATTAGAACTATATTATATGTATTAAGATACAGAATCTCTGTGGTGTATTATAGCATCACGGAATTTTAGAACACAAAGCGACATACTTTCCTGATCAGATGAATCTGGCTCTTTGTGAGCAGTCCGTAGCTGATACTCATCTGCAACAAACCTGTTGGACTCCTGTTGATTGAGAGCTTCTTCAAAAATAAGAGTAGTGGTTTGTTAGTAATTAGCCAAATTTCAGCTAAAATGAAACTGGATGGTCCCAGAACACACAGGAAATTCTATCCCTCAGAAAATAACACTATAAATTTATTAGCATTACCCTGAAACAGTATCATTTATTACATTTATTGACAAAGTTTTCCCATTTTAGTACTTTCATTTCCTCAATTAGTATTGCTAGTTGCTCTACTAAGAATTTAACACTACGCTTATTATTAGAGTTGATGTACTGTTTCCACAGCATTCCGAAGCAGCACATTCGATGCCCATGCTAAATGTAAGAGTGTGCAGGAAGTCATTTCAGCCTCTCGGCGGGCTTGCTGACTCTCATGGTGAGTATGCTGGTGGTGACTGTTGGGCATAGACTTTCTCATAGGCAGGCGGAGCATTAGGAACCTGTGAGAATGAGAGAGGGAGAGTGTGGGCTTGGCAACAGTGCACAGGTTTCAGGAAGAGTGACAAAGATAGTTAGCATCACATGTATACTTCTGCTCTGGACTAAATCTTTAAGTGTCTGTCTACATCTAATTTCCCACCAATGAGGTAATCATTATTAAATTTCACAAGTGTGTATGTCAAAACATTGAAGGGGAAGAATAAAGCAAAACAGGACTAGCAGGCTTCCCCAGATCTCAAAAGCTTATTTATACCTGGATTATCTCTGCCAGTAGACATTCCAAGCTGTAAGTAACAAATTCTTGAATCCTGTCTGCAGACACAAATAAACACCAGATCTCTACCACATACATGGGTCCTCGTAGTTGTGTCTAAAGGCCATTGCTACTGTCAGCAAAGCACAAATGTGTCAAGCCTTCATTTAATGCTCACAGCAATTCTAGGAGTATTTTCATTGTTTCCATGTTACAGATTGGGAAACTGAGGCACAGGGCAGTGAAGTCACTTGCGAAAGTCGCACAACTGTTAAGTTGTGGAGCTGAGAATCAAATACAGCAATGGGGCTCCACAGTGAGTGCTCTCAGCCGTTACCAGTGTTTGTCCTAGAGCAGAGTGTATACACGCAGAGCGTACCAAATATGTGACTTCAAAATTTCTAGTAACCACGTTTTAAAAATTTAAAGAAACAGGTAAAATTGGTCTTAATAATATATTTTGTTTAATGCGATATCAAAATGTCATTTCAGTATGTAAGCAGTACAAAAATCATTAATGAATTATTCATACTTTTGCTTATAGTAAGTCTTTGAAATCAGCACTTCGTTCAACTGTTTCAAGTGCTCAATAGCCGCATGTGGCTAGTAGCTACCCCACTGGACAGCATGGCTCTATACAATTAATGATAGGTCCTTTTATTCCCCCTTAGACATATCCATCTTCAGGAAAAAGGTAAATACACTAAATACACTAAAAACCTAAGACAAAGGATGTTATATCCAGAAGCAAACTCTTCCTTTAGTACTTACATGTAGGGATCTCATTATTGGCCCTGCAAAATCTAAGTATGAGAGGACAGGATCTAAGAAAATCTCTGCTTTCCTTGTTTTTTTATCTTTATTATTTACTGTGGCAAAATATGCATAACAAAATTTTGCCATTTTAATGTTTTTAAGTGTACAGTTCAGTAGCATTAAGTACCTTCACATTGCCCTTTTAAAATGGGAATAATTTTATTCATTTGAATTAAAAGTAGTCATACCCAAAAAACACCCAGATGCAGGATCTCAACCTACCACAGGTTCACAATTGTTTTCTTGAAAAGGCAGTTTGCTGTCCTGGTGACCAAGTGCCTCATGTGAACATCTTCCTGTTAAGGGACTTTGAGTACCAGTGTGAATATTTTTATCCTGAAATGTGAATTCATGAAGGTCAGTGGATGAGAAGAAAAATAACTGAATTCATTAAGGAAAAGAGAAGGAAGCTGAAATTTTTAAGAGTGGTATGTAATCTTGGTTCTGCCTCTCACTGTATCTTCAGGCTCATCACATTACCTCTCTGAATTCCAGTTTTTGCATCTGTAGTATGAAGAGAATACACCTACCTCTTAAGTTGTTGTAGGAATTAACTAAAGGTAAAGCAGCTAGTGTTGACACCTACTAGTCAATGAGTATTTCTGAAGAGGATAAAAGGAACGAACCTAAAAAATTAACCTCAGGGATTGGTTTTCAGCGGAGGGTCAAAGCTCCTGAGGCTGGAACTGGTATCAGTGAGGACAAGCGAATGACTGACTTGACAACAGGAACACACTATTCTGCCTCTCCCATAATTGCAGCAAAACATCTTAAACACTACAAATGCATATGTTGTGATAGAAATGTTGTGGTTGTAGGCCTAAGCTTCTAAGTCAAGCTGCAACGATTATGACAAGTCAGTCTAAGGCTAAATTATGCACCCTGAGTTATTGGGGAAAGGGGTGGGTAGAAGCTTAGCGTGGTGCTTTGCATAGCTTTAGGGTGATGCCCTCCATCCCTGGAATAGAATGACAACAGTCTGTACAAGACAGAGATGCATATAACAGGGACTGCAGGAGTGGTCCACCCTGGGGAGGTGAAGTATATATCATCACTGCCATTGTTTAAAATTGCTGGCAGTCGTGATAATGAACAGCAGACTCATTTTTAGTCACTTTTATTATTAAATTCTCCATAGCAATGGTTCTCAGACTTGAGTATGCATCAGCATCACCTGGAGGACTTATTAAAACACAGATTGCTGGCTCTACACCCAGAATATCTGACAGTAGGTCTAGATGAGGCCCACAATTCTGCACTTCTAACAAGTTCCCAAGTGGTCCAGGGCCCCACGAGGACCCCACCACACTGACAATGCTCCTCCTCCTTGCCTGCACCTGGGCCACTGCTGCACTCAGAGGGACAGGTCTAATACAAGGGAGTCAAGTGGAGCCATAGGGAAAGCCCATGCAGGTGGGGCCATAGGGACGGGGGCATGTTTATCCCATCTAAAGGGACAACCACTGCATAGCTGCCAGTTTTTGCCAGCTCTTCTGATTTTTTTTTTTTTAAGAAACTACTAGTCAAGATTTTTATGTAAAATCACTTTTAAATGTTGGCACCTAACTCAATTTTTAAAAAAATACAGGCCCCAACATATCTGAGTCAAATCCAGTTAGTAGGGCATTAGCAACATGCTTTCTGTGGTAATGGCTGAGAGGAGCTGGAGCAGCAAGGCTGTGCATGTGCTCAACTGCTTTTCAGGCTTGTCTGCAGACCATGACTGATCACTGGGGTCCACTAGGTTGGAAGAGAAGGTGCCAAGGCAGGTTTCCCAGGAGGAAGAAGTGTTTGGAACATCAACTTGAAGATACCAGACATGGATTGGTCTGCTACCTACACTGTCTGCAGACTGAAAATAAGTAATTTTCCTAAACTCTGGTCTAAAATTATTCTTGACCCTATCCCCTTCCCCCTTTTGCACAAGGGCCATAATCATGACATGAGGACACAGGGAGGTTCTACCCTCCCCAGCTCCCAGTGAGGCTGCTCAGGTAAGGTGTATAATGCAACCTCTCCCTTTACCTCAATTATCATTTATTCTTTTTCTTTTTTTTTTAAATTAATCTCTCACCTGCCATAGGAAAGGAACATGATCCATTCCCCCAGTTCACTGCCAGTTCTCTGCATTCACACCTTAGCATGCATGTCAAAACATGGGTTGCTGGGTCCCACCATCAGAGACTGTCCCTGAACCTGCACTTTAGCAATAAGCCCAGGTGATCAAGTGTAAGGGCCTCTGACCACGCGTTGAAAAACACAACATTACGAGACATGAGTGTATAAATTTAGCTGTCAGCCAAACCCTGAAATTCTCTAAGGATCAAAAGTATTTATGCCTAAACTCCAAGTGAAAGTAAAATTGGTAAATACAAAAACCAACTTCCAGTCCCTTACAAATAGTTTTTCTGCAAAAGCACATTGCTGCAAAAAGCAGTCTTTCAAACAATGCTTTAAAATGAAAATAGAATCACCTAAGAGGCAGGGAGGTAGCTGTGTAATTAAATTCAGTGCTTAATGCACTATTTTACATAATTTTGCCTAAATTTCATAACTGCTGATCCCCATACTGGCTTTTTGGGAGATATGCAAGTCAAAACGAGATTTTAATATTAATTTAAAAAATAAATGACAGCATTTCTAGGTACTAGGAGAGCCAGGAAATTTAACCATAGCTCTATCTTATAAAAATTCCAGAAACTGCAAATCTGCAAATTACTGATCTAGACCTAGAGGAATGGAGGCACGGTAGATTGAATGTGAACTTCGTCAAGCAAAACGTTCAGTGTTTGAATCCATGATGTTAAGACTCTTATTGTTCAGATGAGTAAGTTTTAGATGAGAGTGTTGAAACAGAAAGGAAAAAAAAAATCATTATAGTTTTGTCCAGTAGCATCAAGCTCGTAACTGTAGACACTTAGGAAATGGGAAGCAACTTACTGTGTTTGTATAGCTTTTACTTCTTGAAAGATTAAAACCTTTTTTATATACAAACATTGAATGAAATTTAAAAAAAGAAAATACATATTAAAACTGATATGCATCATATTATATCAGGTGTCTAGGTATAGAATAAAGCAGATGAGGCTCAGAGAAGTTAAAATGTCAGGTAACCAAACAAGTCAGTGGCAGACAATGAGACCAAATCCTGATGCGACACGATTGGGTGACTGCTATGTGCCAGATACTGTGCTAGGCACTGGAGGTACAAAGATGAGTAAGACATATTCTGTCCCAGTCAGAAATGGGGAAAAGGAAAAGGGGTGGAAAAGGCAGAAAGTAAGCAACCAATTACAAGGCAATGTCATGACCCTGTGCTAGAGGTACAAAGAGAGTTCTGTGGCAGAGAGCATAGTGCCTCTCCAGCTGACACACTGTAGACAGTCACAGAGAGGTGTCCTATGAGTAGAAGTACCAACCCTAACCTCCTAACCCAAGGCTTTCCTGTGGTACTTGGTTTAGAATCTCATTCAGACTCAGCAGCTTCTCCTCCTTCCCACTAAATGTCAGCACACTGGAGGGCTGCTGCTCCATGGGTGTTTCAAACTCACCCTGTTTTTTTTCATGGCTTGGTATTTGGGACATTCTGGCAAAATGGGCATATTAAGGGAGTTTGGGATATTAGGACAAAACGGGGCTGCCCAAGCTGCCTGGCAAAGAGGAGAATTCAAAGCTGCAGCCTGCACCTTCCCCTTCAGATTGCCAGCCTCCCACCCTCCAACCACACCAGCCCTCCCTCTGTCGCAGAACATTTTCCTCTAAACGAAGCACTTGCTGAATAAGGAATGGGACTTCCCAACATCTTTAGTTATGAAAAAAATTTTTTCCATTATGTATCAAACTCAAAAATTTTCAGACCTGTAATAACAGGAAAAAAGGAGAAAGAGAATTGCAACTTTCCTTCCATCCCATTGCTCACTATGGAGCATGGATTTGGATGCTTAAGTCCTAAAGTGCTGCCTGGCTTTGACGTGAAGTTTCTGAAACCTGTAGTTTTCATAGTTTAGAGGCAAAGGATCCTGGATCTGGAGGGATACTAGAGATGGGAAATTTGCCAACCTTTAAGCTTCTGTATCCGCTTCGTCTTCTACAATACCAGCAGCCGATGAGCAATAAAATTCCCAGGACCACTGTCAGGATGCCAATCCCTGCAGCCCTGGCCCAAGAGAGAGATAAGTCCATCTTGGTACAAAAAAAAAAACCCCACCTTGTTCCAGGTTGTGATGAAACATGCATTAACCTTCTCTACAGGGGCTTCACCAGCCCAGAGCAGCACCTCCCAGTCCCCAAGTAGTTTCCCATCCCGCACCACCCTGGCCTCTACCAGGCCTCCAGTACCTGCATCCAGGGGCAGGACCTTCTCTAGGACCCTCTCAGGTATGTGCCCACAGGAACAGTGCTAACTGGCATGTGCCTGAGCACCCAAGTTCCATACATAGGAGGTGCAGTAGTAATGATCCTTATTTTGACAATGTATTTATTGTGATAGAATTTTCTTTTCATCAGGGCTAGTTTAAGACATTTACCCCAACTATCAGTTCACAAGAAGGAAATGGAGATTAATGTTGACTTAACATCTACTATAAGCTAGTTGACAGGCTAAACATTCAGCATGCATTAGCTTATTTAATTCTCACCACAACCCTGTAAGGTAGGTACCACTTACCATCCCCTTTTCACAGATGAGGAAATAAATGCAGAGGTTGAGTGCTTTACTGATGGTCATACACAGGTAGCAGAAGGCAGAGCTGGGATTCGAACCTGAGTCTGTCTCAAGTGTGTGTGTGTGCTCTGTGCCCAAAAGGCCCTTGCTCACTCCTTCCCTTTTCTTCCCTCCGTACCTGCCTGGTGAATGTTCTCATGTTCCTAGATGCAGCAGCTCCCTTGCCAGTATGATGAGAGCCTATCCTGGCTTCTTTCAGACAGCCCTGGGGTGCTAATCAGTGTGCTTACCTGTCTCTTCTAGAAAAGAGGTTCCAGGGGAGTTTTTCAGTTTGGGGTTTGTTTGTTTTTTAATTTGTGTCCTCAATGCCTAAAAAGAGTTAGGCACTTACGTCTTTCAAGAAATATTTCTTGAAGATCAGTGGATGAATGGAAAGATGGATAAATGGACAGTTGGATGGATAGCCAAAGAAATTAATAAAAATGAGCAAATTAATTATGGGTGATTACACATTCACATCCTCTCCCCCATAACACCAGTCTCTCTGCAAAATGAATGAGCCATTTAATGTCTTCTTTAAAATAACTACTTATAAGTATGTGGATTTGTGGCATAATGTTAGCCCCAACATTATTATCATTTTGTGTGTGTGTACATTTGCAATTGGAACTGAAGACCTGAAACACCATCGTGAAAGATTCATTCCTTTGGCCTAACAGCTTAATTCTCTGGTACTTTAATCTCTTGTGGGTCATTACACTCTAGTGAGATTGAGGAGAACAGCAACTTTCAACAGAGCAAAACTGGTCGGGGTGCAGAGGAGGTAATGATGAGAGAGCGTGGAAACCAGCCACCAAGGGCTTAGAGCGGTCATGTTTTGACTGAAGGGATGGAAATAAGGCTTGTGAGATGTAGTAGACTATATCACACAGGGACACTGGAGCCCAGCCAAGCTGGCAGGACAAGTGTCCCATGTTTATGCTCAGCTAGGCAAACTGCTTGCTCCAGGAATCAAGTGCACGGCCACCAAGGACAGGACTGGATGGGTCAGTCAGTGCTTGCTGCTCACTCTGGTCTCATCTGAGTGACCTGGAAGAGACATCTCAGAATGGAGCTTGGGGTAGAGCCCTGAGGTTGCTGAGATGAGAGACCTGACGTCTCCAGCCTGCCTAGCTGACAAGTCAGAGAGGCCAGCTGACACCCGGAGTCAGACACTGCAGATTGATAGTAAACACCTCCCAGCTAGCCAGGCATGAATTACTAAAAGAAATAGCATAGGAGCTCAGCCCTTGGAAGAAGTGTCTGAGCTGAACCCAGAGCAAAGCTGTGAAATCACTGAGAAGATTGTGCTTCTCAGCAGCAGGATGCAGTCTGGGCATCCCAGGCAGCCTTTTGCACCCTGTATCCATTGGTCCATAGGACGGAAGCATTAGTTACCACAAAGGCCCTGGAAGCGGCCCGAGGCTTTGTTTTCCTTGCATTACATTGCCAAGAGCTAACATCTGCCTGATTTCCACATCAGAACATGATCAAAGTGAGAGGGCTGAGTCTGTTATTTGTGACTTCCTAAAGGAAGGCTCTTACAGAGCTGGGTGGTTCTTAAGAGACTGAGCAGCTTCAGGCAGAGGAAGGTCTAACTGAGACTTCTCCTGGAGAGATCTTTGCCCAATGCCACCTACTTGACTATGTCCATCTCAGGGCGTCTGGGTCATCAAGCCTATCCTGTCCATCTCCAGAGGGAACAGCAAGAACCATGGGGAACAGTTCTGGGCAAAAACTCTGACCTAATTATGCAGGCCAATCCACTCATTTTATAGATCATGAAGCTGAGACCTGCTGAGATTCATCAGCATCACCCCATCTTAGTAGCAATTCTGCTATTCATGAGCACCTGTTTCTGCCAAGCACCCCACATACAGGCTTTAATTCCATCCTCAAAGCAATCTTCTGAAGTAGGTACAGTGTTCATTTTATGACTGGCATCCCCAAGACGTCAGGCTGGTGAAGTGCCCAAGATGGCACATGTGTAAAGTGGCAGTACTAGCACTCACAGCAACCTGGTCTGGGTACCAAGCCGGTGTCCTTCCCACAGGACCATCCTTTTCTGAAATGAAAGGAGCCTCCAGTGGGTTCTCATGACTGAAGGCAGCTGACTCACAGCTTGCCTGTGCTCTGGTTTTACCCACCAGGTCTGTGGTCATCCCCTTGGACATTCTTGACACAAACAGAGCTCTGTTCTGGTTCTTTATATGCAGTCATGTGGCACTCACACACACCAGGTGACTGACCAAGAGCTGAAAATTCCAGGATATGCCAGACATGCCAAAAGAACCCACCACCCAGCTGGGCAAGGCCCTCAGAATGTCACCAGAACAGCTCCTGGAGCAGCCACCTGAGATGCAGGTTAGAGGGAGGATCCTAGGCCTCCCACCCCCAGACCTACCAAATCAGCCCCTTTGCATTTTCACAAGCCCCCTGGGTGACATATGCCCTCTTAACTGAGAGAAACTTTCTCTACTGAGTTTTCACAGAGATAAGTCTGTTGAGTCATCACTCTGCTGAAACAATCTCCTTCCTAATACCATGTGCAGTGTACCCCCAAAGAGTGTATTTTTGTTCTTGGGACATTTTACAGAAGATCTCCCTACTCCCACCCCCAGCTGACCACACAGGGATTTAGAGCATCCCACTAGGTCTTCTGAGGAAATGCTCCCAGCCTGAATTTTTCTTTGGTGCCTTTGATGGATTCTATCTACATCTTGCTTGACCCTGCTAGTTCACTCTAGTAAAGATTTTTCAACATTTCTTCCCCAGGGGAGAACAGGTTTGCAGGAAGTTCTGAACAGACTACTCAAGATGGTCCAAATAAAAACCTGGTTCCTTGTTTGTCTTGTTGGAGTCTCACTCGGAGGGTGGAGCCTGACATCCCATCAGACCCTTGCCCACTGTAGAACATGCATGGTGTGTCCCAACAGCCTGTGTCCCCATTATAGCACTTGCTAAAATTATTTTCAAGCCTAACTCTCCTACTAGACTGCAAGAATTTTTCAAAAGCAAGAATAACATCATGGGCCAGTTATACAATGCTTAGCACTTAGAAATACTTAATCATATAAATACTTATTTTTATTTAATGCAAAATACCAAAACCTTTCCTTAGGATAAAGTTATGATGCAAAGGTTATGACCACCATCTTCACCCACAGCTTGAACAAGCCCCTTGTAGGACAATAGTGCATCCTCCCCTTGCTTCCAGGGATTTTACTCTGGAGAAATGGACACTAGAGAGATTTATGGCCAGGTGTGTGCTGGTGGAAGGCAGTGGACTGTGTGAGTAAACAGCAAACAGGAAACCCTCTGGGTCTGGTTTGAAACTTACCCTTCAGCTGTGATGTAGGAGTGGCCATGCCCCTTCCTGGGGTAACCATAAATGAAGTGAGCATCTTCTCTTGGCATTTTGTGGGGTCAGGCCACAGGACACCTAACAGCAGGGACACACAGCATCATTTAATCCACTCAGAGAGTCCTCGCTCATCATCCCATAAAGAACCACAAAGACAGTTTTTTGGAGTGACCATTAACAACTGCCAGGACCCTCTGGTTTCTCTGTGAGAAGATTTGTACTTGCTTCTTTCTTTGATATCAAGTAGAAATTGCTCAGTTTTCTATCTACCAACTGAAAATTACATTCAGAGAAGAAACTACAAACAAAAGCAAAAAACTTTCAAATTGAGTTAATATTTGGGGAAAAATGCTCTTTATTTGCCTTCAGTTTGACTCTATACTGTAAACCTGTAGGAAAATAAACAGAAAGCATTTCTACTCATTCTTTACTTTCCCTGGTACAAGATTGATTAAAAAAGGAGAGGAATAATACCATTTCTCCTCAATGGTATGATTTGATATCTATCCTTGGACTATTAGAAGGTTCTGATGACCCGAGTGTGTGTGGCTGGGCACAGTATCTTCCAAACCCACTTGCCAACACAGGAAACCACCCCGTACAGGTGCCTGGGCTTGTCCACGTTTACCATACCCAAGGTAAACGGAACTTGGTCTAACAGTTTGTTTTCCCTCCTCAAATGAATTTCAGCTCATGAACTTCAGTTGTCATAGTTAAAATGTGCTTGTTTAAAGCCAACGGTGCCTTCTCTTGTCTCCTTGCTATTGTGTATTTTTCTTCCCTCTTGTTGTTCTCATGCATTTCAAAGGTCTGATCCCCCAGAGTTATATTAATGAGCTTGTTTAAAACAGCAGGAGAGACATGGAGAGCAGAGGGGTGAATTTACTGCATGAACTCTCCACTGGGGCATTTCATGTATAATTTGCCCTTCCCAGTTGTAAAAAAGAAATTACAGTTGAACTCACTGATCCACTCAGGTGAATTGGGGTGACCAACCCTGTGTTCAGAATTACAGACACAAATTCAATTCTGTGTTAAACTGTTTTTATCTATTCATATCGGCAGCTTGGAGCCTTGGCAAACATTGTAGGGACGGCAAATGCATCTCATCTCCCCTGAACCAAGAGCAGCAGCCCTTCAAGTAGCAGGAGAATACTGCTGCTCACAAGCAGGCTGCAGCCAGAATAATTGCTTTTTCTGCTTCCCTGCTTTGCTTCTGGGCAGTCTAGAGAGAGGATCTAGGGGAGACTTTGTGAACCCTCAGAAGCTGGAGAATTACAACTTGTGGAGAAGTTCTGACAACCGATCTGGAGGCAGTGTAGGAGGGCAGAGGAGCCCACCACATCCCCAGGACCTGTTCTAGGAGGACAGGACAACACTCTGGGTGAGGAGGAGGCCCTCTTACCTTACTGGTTGGAATGTCCTCCGTCTGCTGGCTGGTCCTGTGTGTGAACATTGCTTCTCTGGCTCTTAATCCTCTCATTTTTTTCCTTGATCTCGAGTCCCATGTTAGTCACGAGTTTGGATTTCTGACAGGGCTGTCTGTGATTGCTTAATTGGCATCAAAGAAACCAGCTTCATTCCTCTCCTCAAAAAGATGTGGCTCACTACAGCCTCTGCTTTCCCCAACCCTGGATTTCCTCCTGGGGACGCCATTTATTTAAAACACTGGTCCCTCCTCTGTAGCATTGCCAGACAAAATATAGGATGTCCAGTTATATTTAAATTTCATACAAACAGAATATTTTTTTAGTATAGCTGTGTCTTATGCAATATTTTTAATATAAGTATGTCCCTCTTATTGCATGGGACATATTGTTACTAAAAATGATTTGTCATTTATATCTGAAATTCAAATGTAACTGAGCACCCTACACCGTCCCTCATCCCTGCCTCAAACACTGAAGAGCCTTTAGGCTCAAACATGAAGATCATCTAGTCCCATAACTAGAGGAAATAAAAGACTCCTAAAACTTCCTAAGCTGAGCTCCCTGATTTCTTCATGAGGCCCTCACAGATAACTGTCTTCTGAGGAGAGTGAGTTTTTTGCTAGGGACAGAAAATTTTCTCTTTGAAAGTAGATAGACCTTCCTAGAATCTAACTGATACCAGGGCTGAGTCCACCTGACATCTAATCTACCCTGAGAGTTAAATGTGTATAGCCTGGAAACATTTCAGCAGGACAGAACCTTTGCTCACAAGCTCTCTGTAACCATTGTGGACAAACAATATCCACCAGGCACCAGAATTAAAGAATGTGAAATTAAGGATTTAGATTAAATGACCACTAAGGTCCCTTTCCCTATAATATCCAAGGGCCCCATTCCTTCCAGATCCTGTGCCTGTCCAGTTTCTATTTGGGACTGCCCTGTGTGAGACCATTATCACATTGCTGGATACTGGAAAATCCACATTGAAAATGGCAAGGGAGAGACAAATTAAGGCTTGATCCTTATTAGATGAGACAGGGAAAGCTTTTCTGAAAAGGAGGGAAAATGTAAACTAAGATCTAAATGACAAGGAGTCAGCCTTACAACAATGAAGAACATTTCAGACAGAAGAACCAGTGCAAAGGCCCTGAGGCAGAGTAATAAAACACAACTTACTCTGGATTCCCAGAAGTGAGTCTGATTCAGAAGATTTTGTACAAAAATCAGGAAGTATACAAATCCTTGGATTTAGGGAGAGCAGCTTCAACCTGAACCTCAGGCTAACTCTCAGAGGTAATTCCCAAAAAGGTCTAATAGTGGCTAGTAGGCTAGAAAGAAGGGTGCAGTTCTGAGCTGAGAGGTGAAAGGTTTGTGCTGCACTGGACTCTACAACTAACCTGGGCCCCTGAATGATTTGTGGCAAGACCAGAGAGGAGGGAGATACTGACCTGGATCTCAGGTCTCACTCAAGTCCCCTGGTGATGTGAGCTGATTCAGGTGCCTTGAGTGTGCCTGGCATTGTTTCAGGGTGGAGACTGCAAGACAACGGACATCATCCTCTTGCCCAGAGGAGCTCCAGGACCAGACCCAGCACACTGGGGGCACCAGGGCCTGTCTGGAGACAGACCCTCCTGCTCATCTGTTTTTTGGAGCTCAGCAAGGGAGTCCTGACCAGATCTGCAAAGGGCATCTCTTGGGGTTGCTGAGTGGCTTGCCTTTTCTAAGGTAGCCTGTCCTGTCGGGGTAATGTGCCCAGGATGAGCTGGGTGGCTCGTTCAAATAAGGGCTCTCAGACCTCAGCCTGAAAAACCTACTGCATCCTAGTGCCCCAGAAGTCCTCTTTGACTAGGCTCCTGATCACTCTTTGGACTGGTCTAGCACTCCAGTTCCACCCCAGAGCCAGCCCTGGCCAGGCTCTACTTGCCCTCACATTTCCTAGTGGTTTCCTTTCTTCTCTGGCAGTGTAGCCTCCCTGTGAGACTAGCAGAGGGGCTCTGGAGTCCAAACTGCCTGCACTTCTTATCTTCAATCTGTGTGACCTTGGGCAAATCATAAACTCCTTGGAGGCTCATTGCATGCCTCCAAAGTGTACAGTTTAGTATTTCCTAGGTTAGGTGTTGAGAGTTAAAGGCGATAGTGCTTACCATGTGCTTGGTACCACATATAGCACAGAATAAGTTTAGCAACAGTAGTGTAAGCTGTTACTACAAGACTGCCCCACCTACTACCCTTTGGCCAAGCTCAAACCTGCCTTGGGTTTGGATGTGGCCCTGCCATTTCCCCCAGTGTTAGAACTTGCGCAGAGGGTACAACCTCCCAGGCTTCTGACTATTCTTTGCTGCCCCCTGGTGGACCTTGGCCTCCTTGCACCACAGGCCCACTTGAAGCTGCTCGAGACTGATTGCAGAGATGCCTCTGATCTTTTCAAAACCCTCTTGTTCATAGAGCTCAGGGTCAGCATCTTCTTTACTTATCCTTCTTAGAAGGTGCTTAGAACCTTCTACAGTGCTCCCCATAAAACTGTTAGCTTTTGCTTTCTCACACATACCACAACAAAAAATGCTAAAATTTTTCAAAGGTCTGATCCCCCAGAGTTATATTAATGAGCTTGTTTAAAACAGCAGGAGAGACATGGAGAGCAGAGGGGTGAATTTACTGCATGAACTCTCCACTGGGGCATTTCATGTATAATTTGCCCTTCCCAGTTGTAAAAAAGAAATTACAGTTGAACTCACTGATCCACTCAGGTGAATTGGGGTGACCAACCCTGTGTTCAGAATTACAGACACAAATTCAATTCTGTGTTAAACTGTTTTTATCTATTCATATCGGCAGCTTGGAGCCTTGGCAAACATTGTAGGGACGGCAAATGCATCTCATCTCCCCTGAACCAAGAGCAGCAGCCCTTCAAGTAGCAGGAGAATACTGCTGCTCACAAGCAGGCTGCAGCCAGAATAATTGCTTTTTCTGCTTCCCTGCTTTGCTTCTGGGCAGTCTAGAGAGAGGATCTAGGGGAGACTTTGTGAACCCTCAGAAGCTGGAGAATTACAACTTGTGGAGAAGTTCTGACAACCGATCTGGAGGCAGTGTAGGAGGGCAGAGGAGCCCACCACATCCCCAGGACCTGTTCTAGGAGGACAGGACAACACTCTGGGTGAGGAGGAGGCCCTCTTACCTTACTGGTTGGAATGTCCTCCGTCTGCTGGCTGGTCCTGTGTGTGAACATTGCTTCTCTGGCTCTTAATCCTCTCATTTTTTTCCTTGATCTCGAGTCCCATGTTAGTCACGAGTTTGGATTTCTGACAGGGCTGTCTGTGATTGCTTAATTGGCATCAAAGAAACCAGCTTCATTCCTCTCCTCAAAAAGATGTGGCTCACTACAGCCTCTGCTTTCCCCAACCCTGGATTTCCTCCTGGGGACGCCATTTATTTAAAACACTGGTCCCTCCTCTGTAGCATTGCCAGACAAAATATAGGATGTCCAGTTATATTTAAATTTCATACAAACAGAATATTTTTTTAGTATAGCTGTGTCTTATGCAATATTTTTAATATAAGTATGTCCCTCTTATTGCATGGGACATATTGTTACTAAAAATGATTTGTCATTTATATCTGAAATTCAAATGTAACTGAGCACCCTACACCGTCCCTCATCCCTGCCTCAAACACTGAAGAGCCTTTAGGCTCAAACATGAAGATCATCTAGTCCCATAACTAGAGGAAATAAAAGACTCCTAAAACTTCCTAAGCTGAGCTCCCTGATTTCTTCATGAGGCCCTCACAGATAACTGTCTTCTGAGGAGAGTGAGTTTTTTGCTAGGGACAGAAAATTTTCTCTTTGAAAGTAGATAGACCTTCCTAGAATCTAACTGATACCAGGGCTGAGTCCACCTGACATCTAATCTACCCTGAGAGTTAAATGTGTATAGCCTGGAAACATTTCAGCAGGACAGAACCTTTGCTCACAAGCTCTCTGTAACCATTGTGGACAAACAATATCCACCAGGCACCAGAATTAAAGAATGTGAAATTAAGGATTTAGATTAAATGACCACTAAGGTCCCTTTCCCTATAATATCCAAGGGCCCCATTCCTTCCAGATCCTGTGCCTGTCCAGTTTCTATTTGGGACTGCCCTGTGTGAGACCATTATCACATTGCTGGATACTGGAAAATCCACATTGAAAATGGCAAGGGAGAGACAAATTAAGGCTTGATCCTTATTAGATGAGACAGGGAAAGCTTTTCTGAAAAGGAGGGAAAATGTAAACTAAGATCTAAATGACAAGGAGTCAGCCTTACAACAATGAAGAACATTTCAGACAGAAGAACCAGTGCAAAGGCCCTGAGGCAGAGTAATAAAACACAACTTACTCTGGATTCCCAGAAGTGAGTCTGATTCAGAAGATTTTGTACAAAAATCAGGAAGTATACAAATCCTTGGATTTAGGGAGAGCAGCTTCAACCTGAACCTCAGGCTAACTCTCAGAGGTAATTCCCAAAAAGGTCTAATAGTGGCTAGTAGGCTAGAAAGAAGGGTGCAGTTCTGAGCTGAGAGGTGAAAGGTTTGTGCTGCACTGGACTCTACAACTAACCTGGGCCCCTGAATGATTTGTGGCAAGACCAGAGAGGAGGGAGATACTGACCTGGATCTCAGGTCTCACTCAAGTCCCCTGGTGATGTGAGCTGATTCAGGTGCCTTGAGTGTGCCTGGCATTGTTTCAGGGTGGAGACTGCAAGACAACGGACATCATCCTCTTGCCCAGAGGAGCTCCAGGACCAGACCCAGCACACTGGGGGCACCAGGGCCTGTCTGGAGACAGACCCTCCTGCTCATCTGTTTTTTGGAGCTCAGCAAGGGAGTCCTGACCAGATCTGCAAAGGGCATCTCTTGGGGTTGCTGAGTGGCTTGCCTTTTCTAAGGTAGCCTGTCCTGTCGGGGTAATGTGCCCAGGATGAGCTGGGTGGCTCGTTCAAATAAGGGCTCTCAGACCTCAGCCTGAAAAACCTACTGCATCCTAGTGCCCCAGAAGTCCTCTTTGACTAGGCTCCTGATCACTCTTTGGACTGGTCTAGCA